TGAGCCTAATGGATACACTAAAGCCCATGAACTCAACGTTACACTACCAACACAGAATTAGTAAAGAAACACACAAACTGTGTCACAGGTTCATTTCTTCTTTTGATGTCTGGTGCATTTAATCCCACAGTTTCTGCTGCCTGCCTCATAAATCTATAGTATTCATTTATATTGTTAATTAACTGCAACATTCTACAAAAAGTAGACTTTGTGAACATTTAAGAAAACGTAAGCTCATTCCATAACTACAACAAGGACTGAAAATCATGATTAGCAGAGGCGTGCGCTGACAATTAATGAAAGGCAAGCAGTGTTGATGAATCAATCAGTGATTCAACTGGTCAATGCACAAATGGTCCGCACTTACACACTTCAAGAGTGCAGAAATTATTTTGATGATTTTCTCCTGTGCTGAAAATCTATGTACTGCATCTTGAGAGACAACTGTTATTACCGGCTTCCTGCGCTCTTGAACTGTTGGTAGGTTTGAGAGATCTTCTCTATAGTTCAGTCAGTCCTGTCACCCCCATATTTACTGATATGCCACCATGGATGCATGTGGGGTTATCCATAAAGATAGCAGACTGTGTTGCCAAAAACACACAAAAAACAACAGTGCTCTCTCACCATTGCTGTCAAGACACACACACGTATTTCTTACTTTCAGCTGAAAGAGAAAAGATGCGACATACCTGTGGGGTCAATATAGGGTCATCACATTTGCCTGGCTATATATTTATCTCTCTCTCTCTCTCTCTCTCTCTCTCTCTATATGTATATATGTGTGTGTGTATGTGTGTTTGTGTGTGTAAATGGCCGCAAACACAGTTACAAAAAACTTTAATTAAAAAAAATAGATAGCAGCACTCTCATTATGGCTTCTCTCATTTGATGATGATGGATTGGGGTAATCACCACCCCCATATGTTATCTCAAAGAGAGCAGAATTAAGTACATAAACCTTTACTTGTGCCCCCATGTGCACTCAAATACACGAGTTTTACAGGCGTTGGTTATGAATCTAATTATTTAATACATTAATGGTTAAAGAAGCCAAAAGTTAACATATGTTGTATTTTATTGCTCAGAGGGTTTAAAAACAAAACATTGGCTGTTTCCAGTGTATATTGGTTTGCCCTGACTTGTTATTAGGTTATAGCTAATAAATAACTTTTATAACCATGTGGATGGCAACTTTGCATTATATTATCCAATAAATACTAGCAAAAATGATAACAATAGTACTACTAATAAACAGTGTGCTATCAATGAGTTTAGAAACATAAAAAAAATATAATCAATAAATTATTTGCTCTTCTTTTGCGTATTACATCAACAGTGAACAGATCTGCATCAGAGCACAGTTTAACTGCTAAAATGAATAATTTCATCTTGTGTTTGAACTTCATATCATTCTTCACAGTGACGCTTTGACACTCAGTTAATTAAACAAAGCCTTAGTGTAGAAGATCACTCCTCAGTCTTTGGTTTTTATCAAACTTAATGATGCTGGAGTATTATAGTTGGCTGTTCTTGACTATGAGGAGAACATCTAATACGTTTAGCCATCACGCCTACAGCTTTAAAAATCCATATTGAAAGATATCAAAATGAAATTCCCCTACCAAGGGTTAATCTTTAGTAGTGCTGCATAGAAAAAATCTTGCTGCACAGTTGTGTGTACTGCCTAGACTCACAGATTCGTGCCTTTACTCTGCTGCCTAACTTTCCTGTAGCTGCATGCAGATGCACAGTTGCCTCATGTGGGTGTGTAATTGTGTATTGTCAGCTGTCACGACATACAATACAAAGATTAGGAATGTAGTGAGGAGTAGGCTGCTCCGAGTCAGCACTTTAAAGCTGTCTGTCAGATGCAAACACCCACATTCTTTAACACATACACAGACAGTATGCCACACATATCGCAGCTTTTTCCTTTGCCACCTGGTAAAACCGCCTAAATGCCACCAGCTTTGAATATAATTCTGAGGGTAGAGTAGCTTTAACAGTTTTTATTACTCATTGCAAGACACATTTTAGCTATCCTAGTAAACACCCATCCTTGTGGGCAACTGGTTAGAATAATAAGGCGGGGCAGAGTAGAAGTTTCTGTTGAAGTTTCCTCTGCTTCCAGGATTTATGGAGGCAAAGTATAAGTCTGAAAAGGTCATGCCTTATTGTTAAACCAACAAGTGATAGAGGTGGAGCAGGAATGCTAGTTCTTTTAAACAGGGCACAAAGGGAGGTTGGCTGGCTCCTCTGACATTGAGGAAAAAGGTGGTTGATTGTGGATCACATTTAAAATTTTCCCAACAGCTACAACTATTTAATGCCGCCTGTCAGCCCCTGCTAAGGAGAAGAACTCTTTAAAAAATGTCAAGGATGTTAGAAATCAGCCAATATTTTCACAGAGATTCCTGAGCCTTTGTTGGATAATTTAGCTATGAAGAAAGAGCATCAAAGACATGTTGTAAGGCAGGAGATTTTACACTCTGGGTTCAATCTGTTTAATGTCATGTTTGACTCTTTAAGATGTAGCACGTGCACATTCTTACAGAACAACAGTACTTTTAGATGTCAAAATGACAAAATATAGTTTTAAAGTCTTCATAAACCTTCATACACCTCTCATTAGTTATTATTAATGTGTGGCTCTCTTCCACAGCGTGTCTTTGTCCTGTCTTCCTCCCCTCACCCCAGCCATTCGTGGCAGACGGCCGCCCCTCCTTGAGCCTGGCTGGAGGTTTCTTCCTGTTAAAAGGGAGTTTTTCCAAAGCGCTTGCTCATAGGGAGCCATATGATTGTTGGGGGGTTTTCTGTTTTCTTTGTATTATTGTAGGGCCTTTACCTTACAATATAAAGTGCCTTGAGGCAACTTTTATTGTAATTTGGCATTGTATAAATACAACTGAATTGAATACTTACTGTAGTTGTAAGCTGCCTTGTGGTATTGTGCACAATACAGTGCTTACATAATACAGTGCTAAAGAGTAAGCACATACAGTGGTTACTCTTTGCATGAGTAGGTAGATGGAACTGTAGTAAGTTTCTGTCTACCGATCCTGCCTTTTCCTGTGGTAGCTGGGATATGCCTCAGTTTGAGAAACAGGTAAGGAAAATGGATGGATGGATTGCTAGAGTAGATTTAGGTCTAAAGTTCAGGTTAATGCAATTTTGCAGGCAGATTTTTTAAGAAACTTATTCCACTTAATCTCAGTCTTTTTTCTCTAGATTAACCAAAGTTTTTCTTTTTATAGATATATTCCTTAAAATGGCTGAATCTGACTCCTTGTTTATGGTCTCTCTCAAATGGATTTCCTGTTTCCGCACTACAAGTTTTCTGACAGCCAGTTACCCCCGGCTGCACCAGGTGTCAGTCGAAGAGGGAAGCTTAGCATCTCTCTGCGACTCTGGTGAAACCTCTGGAAGCAATTTTTTAGGATATGCGGCAAAACAGAAGCCTACTCGTGAGAGAGAGGGTGACCAAAAAGGGAACATCCGCTGAGTCATTACTGACTCACAGAAACTTCCACAGTTCTGCTGTGATTATTGGAGGAACGGCCATGCAGTCAATTTAACCCACAGTGCAATTACGTAAATGGATTCACTGGACTGGCTTTTGCAGTTCAGTTCCAAGATGGGAGGTAATTTAGGAGAAAGGAGCAGAAATGAGGGAGGATAAGAAAGAAAGTATGTGAGGAGAAATAAACGGTTGGGTTTCAGTATTTGCAGAGATTTAACCTCTACATGTTCAAAAAATTTGATATATTTCTAACATGTTTTTATGTACATAGCAAATTAATATTTCTGTGAGAGAGAAAACTTTGTGTTGAAAAGTGTTTGTCACTAAGAGACTGTTCAGGTTTTAAAGTTTGGCCTCATTCTCTGTTTTATATATTATATTTCCAACAGCACTACTGAAGGGAGTTGTGCTTGGCAGCAGTCCCGCAAGAATGCTGACACAAACACCGCCCCCTGATGGCCGGAAGAGTACATGTTTTATATTTACACAGTATCATGTCAGTTCTGTGCTCAGATACTGAGCCAAATGAGAAGGTTTTGTGACATTTATGATAATTTTGCATTTATATTAAGAGGTGTCTGTACTACATATATTATAACGTAGTTACACTGTAATTATTATAAATTAAAACTGCAACTAGTGACTCTGTGGTTAATCTGTTCATTATGTTACGTCCCTCTGCAATTACTATTTCAGTAAGTTCTGATGAAATGGTAAAATAAGCTAACAAAGATCAAAAAATATATTTGCTGCAAGATTGTAAGAGGAAAAAATGTACTTTTAAAGCTGGTGTAATGTTTTGCGTGTTTTCTCTATAGCTGCAGTTTTCTACGATAATGCTTCATCTCATCATTAGCATTCTTAATAACATAATTTATACTGCTTTTATTAATTGTACATCTATCACTGCTGCTAACCAGAATGCTTAAGTCATTTTTTAAAAAGCCATTTCCAATCTTTTCTTCATCTCTTTCCAGAAAGGCCATTCTGATAAAGTCATCATTTTTCTGTGGACAGACTTTTGACTTCTTGTAGAGAGAAAAGGCAGAAATAAAAGAAATAGCTGAGCTCTAGTAAGTCTCAGCACGCAGTGAGATGAGAAGTGTACAGAATTCCATCCCTAACTTTTTGATGGTTATGTGTACACCCTCTGAGCACTCTGTATAGACAGAGCTATTAATGTGAACACACATATGTGTAAGTGTGGAAGTACAGCTCAGGACTCTGAAGCATCCTTTATCAATTAAATGCTGTCACTATTAAAATGATTAATTTTTTCCATTGCTTTTCCTACTATGACAAGCCAAAATGTCTGTTTTTAAGAAGAATTTGCACTACTGACTGTGGACTGATAAACTGGCAGCTCTCATTTTAATCTCTGACTTGTTTATGTTCATCCATCTCTGTTGCATCAAGCTCTGACGCTGTGTTTTCACCATACATTTGTTTTTCTGTTCATTCTGCCCATGCTCTGCAGCTGCTGGATGCCAGGAGAACCAAGGTTTGTCCCTATGTTTGCACCACGTGCTGAGTGCACAACATAGAGTCACCTTCAGTGTGGCGTGTATTTTCAGACACCTGGCAATCCCTTTGCACCATACAGTCCTTTCTCCTATGAATCCTATAACTCCTAGAAGTTAAATATTTTCAGTGTTTCAGGCTCCCTTCTTGTCCTATGAACCCTGGTCTTTATGTTTCCTCATTTTAAGAGTACAAAGCGATTACTCTGTTTAATGTAATAATGTCTGGTGCTCCTTTAGTACAACAAAACCTAAAACCTCAGACTCCCCGTGAAGTCGGTTTGATTTCACATATTTTCCACTCCTTCAGATCCTGACTGAGCTATTTTCTGAACAAAAAGTAATTTGTGCTCCACTCTCTGTCTCTGCTGGAAGAAAATTTCAACAGAAGTCACTTTTTGACAGAAACTGGGCCTTAAAGGTATTCCTCTAGACCCAAAACCAATCAATAAAAAGAATGTGAATGGTGTATAGATTTGATATCATGTAATACGGACAGACAAATTCACAAACATGCACACCTTTGTTCAACAGATGGCTGATCTGTCCCTATGGGGTATCAATACTGTAACTTCTGTTCATTAATTTTATATTTTAACTAGTTTTCATCCACCCAGCCAGTCTCTACCAGGAAATTTCACGGTTAGTTTGCATATGTTTTCATTGTAACAGTATGGTCCCTCTGATATTTTTAACTTTTAGTATTCGTGTCCTGGTGGCAGATGCATAAAGCTGTGTGTATGCACAAAGGCAAAGGCAGATTTATGAAACCATGCATACAGATTGTGCTCTTCAAATGCACCTAGACACTTAGATTAAAACAAAAATCTGTATAGTTGATAAGTTTTGTATCCCATATTATCCTCATCAGTTTCACCATATCTGCGCTGATTTCCTCTAAAATGTCCCTCATATGGTCTGAAGATCTAGTGCATCTAAGAAAATTTGAGCATTGTGAAAAGTTCATTTTTTGTGATTAAATTAAAGAAGGTGAACTTTGATACATTCTACATTCATCATATATAAAGTGCAATATTCCAGGTCTTTTTAAAGAAAAATATAGATTTCATTTTGAGTGAAATACTGTTCACACAGTATAAATAATGTCTATCTCTCAGTCTAGTTCAGTACATGCAAACACAACCCAACTGCTGACTTGACAGTTCTCCAGATAATGATCATTGACATCGTCCACAAGGGCACGGAAGAAAAGGCTGGCTGTTGCAGAGTGCTGTGCTCAAGCTTATTCGTGGATAGCTGACTTCAAGGGAAAAATGTGGTAGGAATAGTGCACAAACAGCAGGGATGACAGCAGCCTTGAGAGAATCGTGAGAAAAGTTGATTCAAGAACTTGGGAGAGCTTCTCGAGGAGTGGACAGATGCAGTGTTACTGGGCTGTTGCACAGACGTGCAAAATGCTTTTTCTTCAAATGAAGCAAAGGTCCTGAAGTCTGGGGGAAGAGTGGAAAAGGCACAAAATCGAAGATGTTTTGAAGTCCAGTAAGAAGTCCGCACACTCTGTGATGACTCAGGGTGCCAAGTCCTCAGCCGATGTTGTTGGTGTTTTGGTCCACTGTTTTTTATCAAGTCCAAAGTCAACACTGACATCTACCAGGAGATTTTATAACACTTTATGCTTCCATCTGCAGAAAAGCACCACCTGCTCACAGTGCCAGAACTGCTACCATGACCATGTTATTACTGTAAATGATTAGCCAGCCAACTCTCCTGACCCGAATCCCCAGAGAATCTAAGATGAAGATGAGAAACACCTGACCCAAAAATACAGTCGAGCTGAAGGCCGCCATCAAAGGAACCGAGCAGTAACACCTCAGCAGTGGAACAACCGTGTCATACTGCTCTGATGCAGTAATTAGTGGCAAAGGATTCCCAAGTACTGAGTATTTATATAAACATATATTCCATTAATTAAATATTTCTACATTACAAATTGTTTTAATAGTTTACTGGACTTCTGATTTTCATGAGCTTTAAACCATAAAAATCAAATCCATCCAGCCATCCATCCACCTTCTCCCGGATGGCTGAACTTCTCACCCTATCTCTAAG